ACATATTCATATGATACATCTCATGAACAAAGTGGTTCTCTAAATTTCATAGCACTATTATTATACACTCAGTACTATCACTTTTGCAATAAAATGAAGCCGCTGTGAGGGTAAAATAAATTAATATTAAACAAGGAACACAGAGTACACCATGTAGGAGCCAAGACTCCTACATGACTGATGCTTCACCAGTTACCAAGAATGCTTAAATCTTTCATAAATAGTTATTTTGTAAAGCAGATTTCCCTTCAACAGATACTTTACTGTCCAATAATAGGCTTTTGGTGTACAAGTCTAGATTCACAGAGGGCAAAGCCAGTGCTATGGCATGATGGTGGCTGATTGGTTAGACATCAGCTATAAGTAGACTTCCAGCCTTCTTTCCTATCTCTACTGGGGGAAGGGGGGGACAGCTGCACATCCCTCCCACTGTATTTAACAAAGGCTATGAAGGGGTAAAAAAATCGGGTACATGGACGAAAGGTGATCAGCCATATAATAATTAGCATATGTTATCTGGCTGACAACAGTTACCTCATATTATGAGAGCAATCAGATGAAGGGTGTTAAACCAGATGAGTATACAGTAATACAGAGTGAGAGACAGACAGGTAAGAAAAACACTACTGTACCTGCACATAGCTAGAACCAGTCGGTGAGCGTGGATAAACTGACCCTCAGCCATAAGAGTACAATCAGTGAGTTGGTTGTTCTGGAACAGGCGCTCACAAACTGGCAGGAAGTGTGTCTCTGCATTATTTGACTGAAGTACGTAGTTCAGCTTTCTCTGCCTAAAACATAACATTTTATGGTGAATGTTAAGTGAAATCAATGTACGACTCTACTGCACATGCATAATCATCACTAGTAGTCATTAGGTTTATCTGTGAACAATTCTACTTTCAATACCTCAAGACATCTTCCATCATACTACAGTATGTATTAATAGTAATAATAATAATAATAATACAATAAGTCTCTGACTTACAAGTACCCGATCTATGAACACCCATACAGTACTGTACTTACAATCATGATGTGTTATAGGGATTTCTATTCCAGTATTAGTACTTAATATGGTTACTTTACATGATATCAGATGCTCTTCATACTTATCACATGTCACTCTTGTGTACTGAGTGGTTAGGTAATAAGAATACTGTCACAAGCCAGTTATAAAAATGAGGGTGAAAGAGAGTGGGAAGAATCACCCATCATGACAAAGAATAGCGATGCATTGTTTTTGGAGTGAAAAATGTGTTCTTTTGGACTTTCCATTAGCAAGTGGACTTTTGGTTGCCTTTTAGATGTGTTAATAGATGATAATGATAATAAATTGGGGTACATAACCACAATAAGAAGAGAGAGGAAAGTACACACACGTTGGCTGTTTAAAACTGAGGCACGCGCCACCATGGTGCTACCAAAAGCAAAACAAAGTGGCCAGCCAAACTTGATAAATGGTCTGGTTCCTACACTCCCTGTGGTAACCCATATCTTCAAATGGCCAACCTATATGACCTGTGGGAAACCTATCCACCAATTTTGTCCGTTGTTAAACTTCCAATACCCATTTATTCATAAACAGTGATACTACTACCACTGCGACTTTGCCATTTGGAGACAAAAGTTACAACGGGGAGTTGCCATAAATTACATCAATGATTGAACTAAATGGAAGTTTAATTCTTGTAGCCATGGATCAACATCAAGTCTAAGAGCCAACTAATTACTGCACAGTAAAAGTAGTTGGACTTAATACTGTCTGCAGAAAATCTGGTGGATACTTTTTGTGACCCAGAAACAACAGTGATACAGCTTAGATATTTTCCATTCATAAAATGTGGAAGACTGCCATACCAGGGTTATCCATGACTGAATAAAAATTTTCAGGTATAGTACGTATGTCAAGTTTATTTAAGATATCTGAATCAGTACAAAAACTATGATCCAGATAAAGTATGGCTTACAAGTGTGACCCTGGCCTCTGACAGTGACATTTCCTTTTTATGCTCTGCTAGGTAATGATATTGTACATTCCTATTAAGTTGCACCAAATATCTGTACTGTATCAATAAATGAGTTACATTCTTGACAAGGTTTTAACCTTTCTCCTAGATCTGAATGAAATCTGTAAATTGTCTCATTAAGATGCAATATCTCACAAATTTCATGAGAACTAGTTAGCTGTTTCAGAGATAACATAAGAATGGAGGAAACTGCAGCGGGCCTATTGGCCCATACTGGGCAGTCCCGTTTACACCCAATCCCTATCGCTCATACATCCATCCAAACTACGTTTGAAGCTATCCAGCGTATTCGAGTTAATGATGATGTTTGGTAACGTTCCACTCATCCACTACTCTATTTCCAAACCAATATTTACCTATCTCGCACATAAATCTAAATTTGCCTAATTTAAAACCAATACTACGAGTTTGCTCTTGGATGGATAGTTTGAGTACAGTACCTTTGTTGGCTCCCGGACAGATGGCCGATAACTTTAAAAATACCAGCAGACATTCTTGGGTACCTCCAGGGTGTCATCCGCAAATAATAGAGGACCACAAAATAAAAATCTTCAAATTATCGGGCGTACTGTACATTTATTAAAGATCACCATATAGGGAAAGAAACTTGGTGCTATATACTGTACCTGTCTTCTTCCTGCAGCTCATCCACTTTCAGCTCTGCAGGATGTTTTCTGTGAATTTGCTGCTGCACAGATGTAGGTTTCCTGTGTTTTGCAGTTTGATCTTTATGAGAAACTTTGCAAGTTGCTTTGTTCTGTCCCTCATCTTGGAAGTGTTTCCAGCCTGCTGTTTGTTCCCCTTTTCCTGAGGGCAAAAATAATACGACTTTTATAAACAATAGTGGTGGTACAGCCGGAATTCTCTAAATCATTAAACACAATCCAAAACGTCAGATAATTGTGACCCAAATTTTCGGGCAAATATGCTTGAACAGAAGGCTCTGCCATGGGGACATATCTGTGAACCCAAGCTGGGGGGGGGGGGGTGCTGAGCACAAATTAGCAGCCCTATCTTGTAAAAGGCATGAGGTTACACAAACTCTTTATCAGGCCTCAGTATGTGGACAGATCCTCTGATGACATGGTGTAAAGTGGACATCTACTGTATACCATGTACTGTATTGGAATTTATGTTTAAAATTGGCTACATGGAGCCAGTTTTGATTTTTTGGGGGTCGACCAATAGATGCTCATTTACAAATAGGGTGACTGGCCATTAATGGGTTAAAGTAATTTTTTATGTACAGTTACCACAAAAAATATTGATATCCCTTAATTTTTCACATGATATTCATACAAAAACTTATTTCAAGGATGAATAAAACGCATTTGCAGACTTTAAATTTTTTATTCTACTACTATTTAGTACTTAGTCGTATTTCCCTTACATCTTATTACCAGTTGAAGTCTTTTTGGCATGGATTCTGCTTACATTTGAAAATACTCTTCATCCATCTCAAACTCCCACATGCACTTGATTTCCTCCTGTAGCCGATGTACAGTTGATGTGTCCAGTTTTTCAAAGACAGTCTTGTAGCGATCAGAGTTCATTGTCGAGTTTTGGGGGAGGAAATGGAGGCCAGCACGACCACGTTTTCCACTGAACGCTCCCCATACCATCACACTTGCAGAATGTTTCACGGTTTTAATGGTATAATAAGGATCATACTGACTGGCGTTGGTGGGCCGTCTGACTGTCCATTTCCCTGTAGTGAGGATGCAAAAAGTGCTTTCATTAGACCACATCACAGAATTCCATTGTTCTTTGCTCCAGTGCTGGTATTTTCTTGCAAACCAAGCCGCTGATCGTGCTTTCGGTCCGTGAGAAGTAGTTTTCGTGCAGCTTCACGGGAAGGCAGATGAAGTTCCTTCTGAAGGCGATGTTGAATTGTTCGTTCTGATCCATTTTGCAGAAGGATGGGGGTGTGCTTTCTTCAATTGTGATGCACTCATATTAGGATCTCTCATTATCTCAAGCCTCAGTAGTGAATCAGTGCATTTGGAGGTCTTCCTAGAAATAATTTCCTAGGTGGAATAACATTGGCAGGAAGGTTGCGTGTCGATCACTTGAGCCTCTTAATCGTTGCCATTCCTCGCTCTGTTCTCCTTGAAATTTCTTTCACAGTGACTTTTTCATCTACCAGGGCAAGGATCCGACCCTTCTCTGCCTCAGACATGTTTTTGGGAGCCAAACTTAATGCACACCCTGATCAATAGCAAGTGGGGCACTGGCCAAGTTTCTCCCACTTCTAGTCGAGTGGGAACACCTTAGAGTTGCCGTATGTTATATATTCCTGCCTTGACAAATTTGGCGGGCTGCTTTTCGCACAGTGAAAGCATCAGTGCTGGATTTAGACCTGTGGAGGCCCATGGGCAGCCTCTTTGTGGAGGCCCCCTCATTATAACTACCCAAGAGGGTGGAGTGGCGAGTGAAGCGAGCCTAAACATCTGGGAGTTCCGTGGGGCGCTTTAAGCCCCCCGGGAAAATTTTGAAATTTGAACACTTCTTTGGAGAATTTTGAAGCCATATGCAGTTATATTAAGGAAATTAGAACATTGAGAAATTTTTAATTAACTGTAAATTTATTGATAGTGTACAAATTCCCAACACACACACACACACACAAAAGTGAGACATGACTGGAGTCATTCATGTGGTTTCAAGTCGACCAGCCCTGATATAGCTACTACCGCACATGTCAAAAATTTTCAAGACTTCACAGAAAAGAATATATTATTAGTTATTACCGGGTACATAAGAGATGATTCTTTGCATTATTAATCAGATAAACCTCTACTCAAATAATGGTTCTGTCCAAGAATGCATGTATAGGCTTCTTTAAGTCCAAGGTCAGATAGATTCAGAATAAGTATTAACTCAACTATAAATAAAATTGAAGTTTTGCATCCAATAGTAAAACAAATAAACAATTTAATGAATTTGATAAAATTATAACAAAAGTCTGAACATGTTGGAAAAAACAAGAATATTAATAAAAATAACTGCCATCGACCATGGATAATGGATATATTGAACACAAACATTGATCAGTTGCAAAATAGAAAATAAACATTACCTTTATTTACAGACCAGGCACTTTACGTGACCAGGCCGCTGCAAAGTTTTTGATCAACTTTTCGAAGTCAATCTCTCTGAGGATGTCATATTCAATACTCATCAAAGCCAGGTGGCTGAGCCTATCATGACACATTGTAGTACGAAGTCTGTTTTTAATAAATTTCATTTTACTGAAAGAACGTTCTCCAGAACAATTTGTGACCATGAGCACCAAGTACATCCGTAGCATTATTTCAACATTTGGAAATGTATCTACAACTTTCTTGTCTATCAACAGCTTGTAAAGGTAATGTGCCCTCCCTTTCTCATCATCTTCGTCTTCAAGAAATTGAGTGAAGAATGCTGTAAACTGCACAAGTTCAACTCCAAGTGTTTGATCCAAATCATTTTTGTACTCAGCAACCAATTTTGCTGCAGCTGCTTCAATTTCGTCACAATTCATTGACTCCAGTTTTGACAAGAACCCGAAAAGTGAACAGGTTTCCTCATAGGCCTTTAACTGTTGATCCAGTGAACTCAGGAACTGATCAATTGCTGGAAGGAAATTCTGAACCCGAAATTTTTCTGACTGTGAGAGGGCTGCTTCTTCTGATCGTCCAAAATCCAATGGATTGAGTCGTACATTACGTTGACCCTTGCATGTCTGTGAATAATCCCCAGTTTCTGACATTTCCCTTCCCTTCTTCTCATAAACATGGAAGCAATCTCTTTTTTCGCGTACAAAACATTCCAAGGACTTCAGCATTGCTACTGCTGTTTTCAAATCGAGTTTAGGATCTTGCAATGCATGGCTTGTTGCATCAACTCTGCCAAGAATGTCATGCCAAAACACAGCATAAATAGCAGTCTCTAACCTACACATCTTATCATGGAGACCATTGGCTTCATAACATGTTTTGTTCGTCTCATTTTCATCTCTAGCTATTTTAGCAAGTGTTTCACGGATTGGGAGATAACCTTGGACAACTGCTTTCACTGCAACTGCTCGACAGGACCATCTTGTTGTGGAAATCCTCTTTGGCACAGATACCGGGCCAGATGCTACAGTTTTCAATGAATCACTAAGAATTGCATAACGATGTGTAGAAGCTGTGAAGAACACATAAATTGCCTCAAGAAAAAAAAAAAATGAGATAGCTTCTTGACAACATTCAGCTGCAGTTTTTCCAACCAAGTTTAATGAATGACCAGCACAGGGTATCCAAATAGCATGATGATTTTCAGCTACAACTTTGGCTTGCAGACCATTGTACCTCCCACTCATAGATGTTGCATTATCATAAGATTGCCCACGACAATTTTGAATGTCAATGTCATTGTCTGCAAGAAACTTCATCAAACCTTCAAACATTTCTTGAGCCTTGTGTCCTTGATTTGGCAAGAATTTCACAAATCTCTCAACAGGTGTGTCATGCTCCATGTACCTGATTATCAGAGTTAGTTCATCAATATGGCCTTCATCAGGGGTGGAATCTAGAGAAATTGAGTAATATTTTGAGAGCTTTATACGTGAGATAATTTCGTTCAGTACTTCATTGCCCATTAGTCTCACAATTTCTTCACAGATGGTTGAAGACAAATAGTTTGTATGACCAGTGCCACGATTAGCATGATTCTGGATGTGTTGCCCGAGGAAATCATCATACTCGGCCAAAAGCTCTAGTAATCCCAAGTAATTTCCATTATGAGGAGACGCAATTATTTCATCATCTCCACGAAGAGCTAGCCCTCTTTCACATATAAATTTAAGCACGCTGATCAATCGCTTTAGAAGACTACACCAATACTGCTCAATTTGACCCACATGCATAGTTAGTTTAGAATCTATACCTCCAGCTCCCTTTGCACGACTTGCTGCTGACAAAACTGCTTGAATGTGGTGCTTTGATTGCTCATGGACAACAAGCCTATTAGCATGCTTCCAGTCGCAGAACCCATCAGATGTGAATTGAGATCTTGAAACACCCATTAGCTTGCAAAAGAAGCAGTAGACCCGCCCATTTGCGGGGGAGAAACAAAGCCAAGAACGCTTTACAACTTCCCCATTTTGATTCCTTCGCTCAAACATGGCTGGTGTGCATTTGCGACTGACATTGTTTGCATCAATTTGTACTGCTGATTTTGCATCCAAAAATTTAGCATCACTGTGGTGGAGGCTCTCAGAACCATTCACAGTCCAATAATCAATAAATTGTTTTGTCAAATGTTCTGACCATAAGCTAATGTCAATGTCATAATTTTGTGTAGTTGCCATTTGCACTTCAGGAGGCACGTGCTTTGATTCAATTTCAATCTCCTCGGCAGTCTGGTCATTTCCCCCTGTAGATAGGCTAGAGCTGCCATATAAAGAGGAAGCTGATGCATCACATGCAGGTACTTGTTCTGGTTGCCTTGAAGATGAGCTTGCAGAAGCACTGACTAGATGTTCTGAAGCTGATGGATGAGTGAAGAATTCAGTCAGTCGACATGTTTTTGTAAATTCTTTAGCTTCTCTCTCAGCACGTTCTTTAGATGTCTTTCTCTTTGCAGCACCACTTTCGAAATGTCGTACACCTTTGTGTCTATCCATTCCACTCATTTCTGCAACAATAATTTTCTGTCAACAAAGACGGACGCCAAATTTTTCGTTATAATTAAAAACCTAACACAAATTGGCCGTTTGCTTTTTGCTACTTTGTGGAGAGGTTAATTGATTATTTAACTCCCTGGAACATTTGGATGCCAGCATATTTTTAAAATTTGGAATTTTGGGTAAGATTATGACCTCTCCCTCTGACTTCTCCCAGTCGCACCCCTAAAGCTCGCCGTCGGTTCGCCTCCTTTTCACCATTGACTATACTGTGTTATACTGTTTATACGGATCGTGGAACTGACAGAAACCGTCATTGACATAGTTAATGTACTCAAAATACATAAAAATAACTCAACTTACTTGCAGCCAATCGACCTGTAGTATCTTAAAGCACAATTATATATGTGAACGTATATTCTAAGAGCACACCCACCCACATTCATGCACAAGCATCAATCGACTCTCTCTCACTCGCACTCTCACTGTACATTTGCAAGACATGTTCTAGGAAATGACAACTGACAAGATCATTCATCACTGAGCGGCGACGACTTCACTCAACAAGCACACATGACAATTCTCTCTCTCATTTTACATCTGCAAGACATGTTTATGTCTACTCGTGGGAAGTTCACAAATCATGGGCGACGCAAGTCTCCTCTTTAATCGACAGACACATGACAACCGATGTGCAGATACTACATGACCCAACCCCTCCGATCGACTGTCAACAAACACAGCGCCCTGATGGCATTCGTAATGGAAGTGATAATGAAAAAAATATTTTTTTTAATCTCAATTTCGTTATTCCATGTAGTTCATTTTTAATTAATATATGTTTGTGGAATTCTAAATATAATATTAGCAACACAAACAATAGCATTCATTAAAAATATACGGTTCATAGGAAAACCAGGTATTCATGAATTTCAAGGAGTAGCTAGCCTAATTTCTATCACACTTCTTGCTAAACATAATTTTACGTGATGGAAAAGATAAACATGAATTTTAAAGAATGAAAATAAAAATAATCCAAATGAATAAACAAATAAATAAAATATTGTAATATGTGGAGGCCCCCAGATTGTGGAGGCCCCTGGGCAGCTGCCCACTTTGCCCACTCCTGAATCCGGCCCTGGAAAGCATGTATATAAACACAGCTAATTATGCAGAGGGGATCAATATTTTTTGCGGTCATGGTATTTTGGGGGCTCCAGTCCTGTACCTCATATTTCCTATTGAAATACACAGACCAATACAGTGTATCATGTTGTGCTATTTAGCAGTAAACTTTGGTTCCACTACATCATCATTATCATTTTAGGACTGTTTCCCAGTTGATACATACAAGAGTAAATTCTTTGCACCATACAAAAATTTTTGACCTATTCATTTTTTATTTTACATTTTCATGTAGAAACAACATTTTAGTCTTTACCATAAAATACAATCTAGTTCCTTTGAGACTTATATTACCTGATACAAAGAAAGTTGGAGTTCCTTGCTCCATTTCACGTTCTTCAACTTGCCATGATCCTTCTTCTCTGGTTGCCAAGGGCTCTTCTGTTTCAAAGATGCCATCCATCTTCTCGGGATGTTTTCTCCGAAGGTGTCGCAACAGTGCAGAGGTATTTCCCTGCTTTGTTAGCTGAGTGTGGCACAATCTGCACGACACCTTCCTCTCCCCCTCCTCCTCATAATGCCTCCACACACCAGATCGCTTCTTTCCTATGATGCCTGGAAAATAAGAAATACATTACATATTCAGTTCCATCACTGCACACTATTTAGTCTTCTGTATGATGAACATAAACACTTAAAGTAACTTAACTAAATGGACTTAACTCTTTCATAAGGGAGTACTGTACATATTTTTTACTAGTGACCAGAAGAGCTAAAAACAAAAATAAAATATAATAATTCTGCCCCAAAACAAGGTCAATAAATATATACCTGTACCATAGAAATCCATAAAGCATGTACAGTAAATTATAAGTTTCATAACCACTTCAGCTCTCAGAAGTTTATCTAGGTAAGAGGAATTCTCTGGGTAAGTTAAGACAGCAGGCTGAAGAGTGTGCTGAAGGGTTTTACAACAATAAATATTTTTTTTTTAAAAGTTCAGCATTATTTATCTTAATTACACTTATCACTTTCATTGTCTTTTCTTTCACTCAATGTTAAAATCTCTATAACCTCAATTAAGTATGTACACGCACTTTAAAAAGTATCTTTACGGAGGTGGTTCAATTAATTTCAAAATGAACACTGTGATTCCTGTTGTCTCGGTAGGGTTATTAAAATCCTTAATCTATTGTTATATTGTCTAACACAAAATTGTAAAGATACTTTTGGACCATTTGTAGCTTAGGCCTTGAAAAGATGAGTAGTGCTTGTTTGAAAAAATGTACATCCAGTACCACTTCTAGCCATCCACTAACATTAAAACAGCCATACTAACCACTAATTTGACTGCTGGGGGCCTATTTATCTATGTGACACACTTTTGTGACCTAATATAAGTATACATTCCACACACAACCACAGTCACACACGTAGTCAGTGACAGCAGCACCTGTTTGATCATCATGTCAATTAGAATAATGGGAATAGATTAGATAAGGCATATGGAATTTCCTGTGCCACCAAGATCATTTACAATTACTCAAGACTGGCGTAGTTTTAAGTTAAAAAAAAAATAATAACAAAAAATATTAAATAAGTGCTGTACTTCCGTTTCCTTTAAATTTCACTAAATAGTTTTTTTTTCACTGTTTACAAAACATCTTTTTTATTTTCTTTAACACTTATCTTACCTGATTTACGGCATGAATGAGTTTCTGCCCCCAAAGGCAGCTCTTCAGCATGACACGATTCTCTGCTTGTCATAGACCCTTTTGCAACAAAGAGACCATCCATCATTTTTGGATGTTTTCTTCGGAGGTGTCGCAGCATGATAGAAGTATTTCCCTGAGTTGTCAGTTGAGTGCGACACACTCTACATGCGACTTTCCTCTCCCCTTCCTCCTCGAAATGCCTCCAGACTCCAGACCTCCTTTTTCCCATGATGCCTGAAGAGATGTACTACATGTATAGTAATAATCAATTGCATTAATGCACAGTAAAGTATACAGTAGTATTCATCTTAGTGTTTACTCTTTTAAGATTTTACCTCCTAATATGCTGGGTGGCTAACATCAAGAGCAACATGACTTCCTTATCAGTTATCATTCATCATTCTTTCAGCTATATATAACACCTGTTCTCTGTTATGGTGTTTCCCTACCTAGGCCCCAACTATCTGGTTAAATTTAATTCCTACCATTTTATGTAAGCTAACTTCACCCATTAATTTATTTTATGATTTAATCAATAAAATATTGCACATTAACCAAAAGAATGCTGATTCAGTAAATAGAGGCCTTAAGTATGAAATTCCACTTTATTGCCAGAACCAAGCAAGAAACTTGTACGATGTGTCACTGCCCAGTACAGTACCTAGAACAGCCCACCATTGCCTATATAAGGAGGGTTGGCAAAATATCAGCCCACCAAAGTTTTTTAAGTTATAAAGCAGGTATACACTCATGTAGAGTACTGTACTTATTAACTGAACTTATATATAGTTTCGATGCCTCTTGTACCTCTTGTATAATTTAACCCTAACTTTTGAGAAATACTAAGTATTGTATAATCCTGACACTATGTACAGTATTACAAACACTAAAATGAATTTTTGCCACTCGACCAGTTACCAACATCTATTTATAAATTTTGCTATATTCACCCCTAAATATAGATTAAACTGTACACTGTAACATCATAACTTAAAATTATGAACATATAAACAGCAATAACAGCAGCATATAACTAACAGTGATGAAACCAGAAAAAAGAATTAGCTATATAAGTTTAGTGTACAGTACACACTGCGTCCCAATCTCAGGGATGCTAGCCACCTGCTCGATGATCGCCAATACAGCCGTTGCTCAGGAAAACACTTCGGTAGCTGGGACACTGTTAATTTGTAAATATACTATTATTGTACAGTATAAAGAAATTTTAATACCACAAAAATCTATATATTTTTATCACCGATACATCCTGTGTTATAATGATTCACATTATGGCAGTTCTTATAGAAATGTTTTAATAAGTCATTTAACTGTGAGGAATAAGATAAAATAATATATACTGTACCAGTAGATGATAGGAGTAAATGAAGATAATACACTACCAATACATAAAAGAAAGGAAAAAGTACTGTATTGCCATTTAGCTGCTGGGTTAAGAAGAATTTGTTAATCATCTCACTACACACAGGAGGCATCTCAGAACAGTCGAGATCAGCGAAAAGCTGATCTTATGACACTCATGTGAAGTCTTTACATACTGTACTTTGTACGCGAAGAAATTTAATTTTTACCATAAATATTCAGCCAAAAAATTCCGACCTGTTGGCGTGTGTTCTTGCCCGATTGTAAACAAATGAATTCTGATTTTGGTCTCATTTAGATTGTCAACAAACGGCGGAACGTCATTTTGGAAATTTTACTAACTTTATGATAGGCTGACTGCCTTTCTTGAAACCCAGATTATGGGGTTTCATTCGTTTCCAATACACTGTACTTTATGAGTAGCATTGGTTAATAAGTGAACTGTATAGTATTTGTATACTTATTGCTCTTCCTTAAGGAACAGGAGTGAAGGAGAAGCCATATTGCTTTTCAATGGCGTCCTTATCGCATCCAAAAAAAACATAAAATTACACTATGCCGCTTCACGACAGTGTTTCCATTGCTACAGTTTCGAAAATGTGTTCCTACACACCCTGTGGTAACCCCGTGTCCCCAAACAGCAATGTCGCAGTACAGCATGTAGTAGTATCACTATTTATGAATGACTGGGTATTGGTTGTGTAACAATGGACGTGATTGGTGGATAGGTTTGTTATAGGTTGGACATTTGGAGACACAGATTACCGCAGGAAGTTAGGTAAGGTAGGTTTCTTTGGTTAGTTCAGGTTTTATTAGGTTCTGTGCATTGTCGTATCGTTTTTATTACAGTACTTACTATCATCCAAAGAACATCTGTGAAAAAATTAACGAGATCTGACAACCCCTTCTGTTGTTAGCCATCTGATGCACCATTACCGATTCTTTTTATCTGAAATTATCATTAAAAAACACAAAAAATCCAAAATCTAATTATGTCATCAGCTACCGGTATAAATTGACCCAATAGCAGTATCACATTAATTGTTTACAAAAGTCACCTGTAATGTAGATACCAAACTATCTTCACAAGAAGTGCCCACAATAATTATCTTTTCCAGCCTCCAGCTTCTGTTCCTCTCACCTTGCCCAGGTTCTTGATAAATAATCATTTATATATTCAGTTTGTATAATTACATATTTAAACTGTGTAATCACCAATGGGTTCGATCCCACCTTAGGTCGAGAATGGAATGGATGTCCATGTGACTACCCAGCACCTCCAATTACTTCGGTTCCCTCCAGCACTGTAATACAGGAACCTAGTGGGTGGACCTCACTAGACCTCTAGGTAGAATAACTAGGCATAAGGGTTAGACCTACACACAATTATATAATTATCAATCAATACCAAATGATCTTCGGGTAGCGAGCCCGACCACGCACTTCACATCCTGTAATTCTTGACTTCAGTATCTGTAAGTCTCATAACTTTGGGCATCTAATATACAGCTTTATATAACACCTGTCACGTCTGCTTACCAATGGAGAAGCTATTAACGAAGTCTTAACGAAGTCTTGATCACAACGCTCAACACTTAACAAACTGTCTGGTAAATACTAAGTATAACCAATGTTGGTTCATATACCACGTTCACTAACTATTACTTTACTCTTTTAACAGACGACTTGAACCAACTTATTAATATAATTATTCAGTAAAATATCCATATTAGTTCATTTTGGCTTAACGTGTATACAGACATTCACAGAAATATTATTAATAGTAAATAGTAAGAAGATTCAGTCAAGGACAACCAAAGACGCTAAGCGGCTGGGTTTTTTTATAGGACTCTTTATAAAAACCAAAGGGCTTACAGACTTTTTGCTGCCTCAGTATTTACTTTTTCCAGTAATTTATTGGAAATAAAACTTTAAATTAACTACTATTTCATTGTTGTGTTGTAATGTGAAAAATATATAGTTCAGCATCGCTCGTCGTGTAACTTTTCTAACATTAATCATGTTTGCTACAACACTTAAAGATCGTAATTTTAGTCTAAGTGAACCTAAGTGTTGTCGAACATATTTAAGTAAGTCATTAGTCTCTTTCCCTCACCTCAAGTAAAGTTGTCAATTCTGTAAACTTCACCACTTTAACTTTTTACTTTTAACCTCTATTCCTCTTCGCCGGAGCCTTTGGAGGTTGGCCATGTAAATAAAGTGTTTCCCGTTTAAATGCGTCCTAAGCGATTTTGAATGAGTTTAAAGGAGTTGCCGTAGTATTAAAGAGACCAACCGAGTATCACTTTAATTAAAAGGATAATAATAACAATAACAAAAATATTGATGAAAATATAGGTCATTTGAGAGGGAAACGTCATAGAAGAAAATTGTTTTAGAATTGTCTGAACTATTGATTGTAGATATATGATTCTCGAAATTCAGTTGGTAATAATAATAATAATAATGATGATGATAATAATAATAATAATAATAATAATAATGATGATAATAATAATAATAATAATAATGATGATAATAATAATAATAATAATAATAATAATGATAATAATAATAATAATAATAATAATAATAATAATAATAATAATAATAAACATTTTTTTATTATTATTATGTATATAATATTTATCATGTAGTTAATTGAGGACAGAGTTATACATAGGAAATTTTAATAACCAAAAATTGGCGAAATTTTACGTTAAGATTATTAGCCAAAAATGATGAGAATAAATGGATTTCAGGATTATTAGGAACCCTAGTTTGGTTAGGTTAGATTATGATAGGTTAGATAAGGTTAGATTAAGTTTTGTTAGGTTAGATTAGGTTATGTTAAGTTTGGTTACTTTAAAGTAAATTAGACTTGGTTTGGTTAGGTTAGATTAGATTAGGATTAGTTAACATTTGGCTAGGTTGTCGTAGGTTGCCTCCTATTTCACAAGTGATGCGTTTCTTTTCCATTATATCAATTTTTAGGCAAAGAAAATGTTGTTATCATGCATATGCAGATTTTATTAGCTAGACAACATAAACTGTATAATTTATGTAGACACCTTTATTGTTTTTGTAGAATAGCAGAACTAAATGGCAGTACAATTTTAGCCCACGGTATTTGTAATGACTAATTTTACACAAAATCAAACTATCTTGTATCGAGCTGAAATTCTTGAGAATTTTCACATCTTGAAAATCAGAGGTTTAACTGATTGGTTCGGCAGAAATAAATGGAAACATGTGTAACCCCCCTCAGTGAATGTGTTAATTTCTTCTCACTTCCAACACACAGTGCCTGGATGGCCCGTCCCCTGTAATGCTTTCCAAAAATAAGGTGCTTCCCCGTTTTGAGCATTGCCAACACATCTGGTTTGATACGCTAGTGTAGGGATGTGCTCTCACTCCAGTGATTGGAATGTAACTATGTAGGTGATATTTTAAATTTAATTTATGAATGAAAGAATGGTAGGCTTGAAATGTGAGCCAATAAATTTTAGTCTTTCTAGTTGACTCACTGTCTGCACATTAACTCCTCAGTGGCCTTAAGAGTCAATCACTGGTTCAAATTGGATCTAACACCCAGAATCAACTGTGTGAAGGTTCTTCATAGCCTCTGTAATAAGTCAGAGAATTATTAGTGGGCAGGTGCTGTACTGTACTATCTTGTAGGCCCTTTGTGACAACTCAGAGGTCATAAAATTAATTAATATAAATGAAGGTGAAAATAAATACAAGCATCAAAAACCTTTTTCTTTATTTCATTAACAAAAAAAAGAAAAAAAAAAGTCACTCACAAAGAGCACAGTCAAACAGTTCTTAATATTATCTATGTACAATGAAACACCAGAGTACAGACTTGTCATGGCTGAGCCTCCAGCAATGTACAATAAATGATAGAAATATATTAAAGCACACCACTTGAACATGCAGACCAAAATTGAAACACTGGGTCTTTGCTTCATTTCACTTCACCCATTTCATAATAATCTTCATTTCACTAATAAACTCGAAATGTTCAGTTCTTTCCACTTTTCATCATGGCACATTCTTCAGTTCAGTTCCCCAACAGAAACATTGTCTGGATATTTATCAAGTTCACCGTAATGTTCCAAGAATATTTCACTCCATTTGACAAACTTTTTCTAGATACTGTTACAAGACAGTCATAAATTTATTAAAATTTACTTTAAAGATTTAAGACATTTATTCAGTTTATGTATGATTGCACATAATTATATTGTCAATAAAGCTAATCTGAAAGACATTACAAGATGAAAAATATTTAAATATACAACTTTGAGCAGATCTTTCAGTTATTAAAAAAGAAGAAAAAGAGAAGGATGCACATAGCTGTGCTCATAGTTACACATAACATAATTTTTATAAGTAGGTGTGTGTGTGTGTGTGTCATATTATTACTTGTGATTCCTAGTTAATTTTGTTTGAGTTACAAAATATAAAAATAGAGGTTGCTTTAATAAGGGTATTTGATTAATACTTAACATTTTTACAAGAAACACAGTAAATTCTGGACATGGCTTTTCACATATGAGAGAAACTTTACATAGCATCATAACTGTAACATTCACAAAACAAATAATACCAATATTTCCAAATATATCTGTAGCAAATGAATCTTCACTTTATGCATTTATTACACCACTCATGATCCCCAATATTTCATACTACTATATTTTCACATACATAAGACGACAGTATTTAAACTTCTGAAGTTGGCAGATATCAATAATTACTCCAAATACAGTACAGTATCTTATGTCATGTGTTCCAGCAAAATTGTTTTATGAAACATTACAATATCTTTTCACTTCTCAATCCAACAAGCTTAAATACCTGCACTTGATACACTCATAATATTGCCATCTTCTTCACCCAGTAATGAGGGCTACCTGGTACTTAAAGCAATGGTACAGTACTATAAAACTTATCTATGCGAGCTAGGTATCACTTTCATGATTTATGTAGGAATAATCTAAAAATATTGTCAGTGTTCTGTAATTCTTTGAGACTCCCTTTATAATAAAAACAGACCTTGAAAATTTGTCAGAAGCCCAGCAATGATTCAAGCCAAGTTGAGGGACACATTTAATGCACCACTTGCCTTCACCCCTCTCTTTAAATCTCAGAAATATTGATTAGACAGTTTTCTGCATCTTTTGTTACCCCTACTACTAATACCTGTACTACAACTACAAAAATAAGTCCCTAAGGTTCTTGTGGGATTGTCTCGAAGAACTAAAAAACAGCAATTTGGTAACGTCAGAGTCAATGACATATGAAGATTTAAACAAATAGATCCAACAATTGATAATTAATTTAAGAAATAATGAAAAAATTATATAAAAAATCAATTTAACCATAGCAAGCCAGTTAGACTCACTTGTAAAGATGTTTAGAAGTGAGATTACAATAAATTAACATCAGCTTTCATTATGACAAGATTATTATTCACTCTACTCTACATGGTCACTATCAGCCACAATCTCTTTAATGTTCAACCACTCAATACTGTATAAAGTAAAAATTTTTACGTGAAATTTATTATTTCCAATTTCTTTAACCGTCTGTTTGAGAGAATTATATATATCTTGATAAAATCACACAAGAAAAAGGGAAACAATGGAGCACCTTAGTTTTCAGTTGCCTCTGAAGATGTCTTGAGTAAAGACGAAAGCTAAGGTGCTCCATTGTTTCCCTTTTTCTTGTGTGATTTTATCAAGATTTATCTTATCCACATTTCCATTGTGGATCTACATGAAATAATAGGTCTAGAATATACAGAAATTATTAAATAAATCAAGGAAAAATGTGCTGAAGGTTAGAGGATGTGGTCCCCAGAATGAAATATACAGTGTACAATTATTTTACTATTAAAAACATGGTATAAATAGATACAGATAATTAAAAATGAAAAGTAAAATAATCATTAATGTATGAGTTTTTTTATAAGAAGTTACTGTTCATATAATGCAGAATGTACAATGAAAGAAATAACAGTAGCAAATTGGTAGGTGTATATACCTGTCGAGAAATGTGCATCCACTGTCTGCGAGGTGGTGGTGGGTGTGTGAGAGGATCGTGATGGGCCTATAGCCAGGGGGGATCAACAGGATGCAGTTTTAGTCAGTAAAGGTGGATTAATGCAATGGAGCACTAACACAAAGCGGGTCTAAATACAATGGACAACTGGCACCAAGTTAAAACATTTTTGTCCAGTTAAAATTACCAAAGTTTGGAGGCATGTGAAACTGATACACCACCTGTATAATGTTTGTGTGTTTAGGCAGGCCAACAAGTTCAAGGGTTCTTGGCAACACCCACAATCCAAACACTGGCATCTCATTGACTACATCATTGTGAGAGAAAGAGATCACAGAGATGTCCTCATCACCCGTGCCACGTGTGGCTCAGACCACTGCAACACTGAACATCAGCTCGTCAGAGCCAAACTCTCACTTCATGTTGCCCCAAAATGTTGAAGGCAGCATGCCTCCAGAAGAGGTTTTAACACTAAGCGTCTAGAGGATCCAGCGGTAGCACATGCTTTGAGAGAGCAGCTCGAATGCTCGAACATGGGCTGATAAACAATCCAAATCCTAGTGCCAA